TCTGAAGAGAAAGAAGAAGGAACCAAAAACAGCAGAAGTCCACATTGCATCTCCAGATGTGGAAACTCTTGTAACAATCACAGAGAAAGATATTTCTCAGGAAATGGAGGAAACTATAACATTGAAACCTACTCCTTTACAGGAAGAAGAGCAAAAAACTAAGGTAAAAATTGATGTGAGCAGAAAGCAGAAGCTTGAAAAGGAAGTCCCAGGAGAAGGTGATGTTCAAGTTTCTCTTGAGAAACCTTTAATTCCTGAGATATTGGAAGAAAGTGTTACTTTGAAATCAATGCCCATATTAGAAGAGGAGAAGTCAGAAAGAAAAGAGGAGAAAATTACATTCAGGAAGGTGCCTAAGAAGAAGGTTCCTTATGAGGAAGAGGCTCCAGAAGGTGATGAAGCTCATGTTACTCTGGAAGAGAAAGAGAGTCCTCTAACAATTGAAACTGTCACCTTAAAATCAGTTCAAGAAGAGGGAGAGAAGTTTGACAGCAAAATTACACTGAAAAAGATAAAACCAAAAGCTGAAGCCATAGTAGAAGGAGAAGCCCATGTCACTCTAGAGGAAGAAATCCTTGAACAAATTGAAGAAACATTCATGTTGAAACCAGTGCCACAAGGGAAGGAAGAGGAAGTAGCAGCAGACACAGAAGTTATTCAGGAAATGAAAGTGAAAAAACCGAAAGGAAAATATGTGGAAGTCAAACCATACCAGCCAGAAGAGGTGGAAGGACATATCACTTTTGAGAAGAAGGTAGCATCACCGATATTTGAAGAGGTAGTGACTCTCAAACCAAGATTCATGCCAGAAGCAGAAATCAAGGAATCAGAGACAGAAGTAAATCTCAAGCAAAAGAAAATGCCAAAGAAGAAGGAACATGTAGAGAAAAAAGCAATGCCAAAACATGAGGTAGTTGAGGCTCATTTAACTTTGGATGAAGAAACCTATGAGGAAGCTGAAGAGACTATTACTCTAAAAACTACTCATGTTCCAACTGAGGAGCTGAAGAAAGATGAAGCCAAAGTTGCTGCAATAAAAAGGAAGAGGCCCAGGGACAAAGATGTAGAAGAAGCTGCAGAAGAGAAACCAGAGAAACTAGAAGCTCAGGTCATCTTTGAAGCACCTGAGGCCCTTAAAACACTTGAGGAGACTGCAACTTTGCAGGCAGTTCCATTAGAGGATGCAAGTGAAGCACAGAAAACTAAAGCAGATATCATATTCAAAAAAGAAAAGAAACCAAAGAAGGAAGAGAGTGAAGTACATGATTGGAGAGATGCAGAGGCACATGTTACAATCATGGAAGAAGTCCCTGATGTGATTGTAGAGACAATCACTTTGAAACCAAAGGTTGTAGAAAAAGATGAAGAAGAAAAAGCAAAAACAGAAATCACACTCAAGAAGAAAAAGAAGAAGCCAAAGAAAGAGGAGGAAATCACAATAGACAAGCCAGAAGAAGGCAGAACTGAGGTTACTCAGCTTGAAGCTCCAGAGGTTGTTGCAGTGGAGGTTGAGCTGAAGCCTACTCCAGATGTAACAGAAAAACCATCACAAGCTGAGATTCCATCAACTTTTGCTGCTCCTTCAGTTGAGAAACAGCTAATGCTAGCAGCAAAAGTTGCAGAAGTTAGTAACTTCCAAATCACTATCAAAGAGCTGGATGTCCCAAATTTATTCCATGAATCTGTGACTTTGCATACTACAGTGGAGGAAGAAGTGCAAGAGGTAGAGGAACTGGAAACAGAAGTCACTTTGAAAAGGAAAAAGTGGAAACCAAAGGAGGAAGTAGTAGAACAAGCAGTTGTGTTAAAGCCCAGGATGAAGGGAGAAGAGAAGCCTGAAGAAGCAGAGGAGACTGTAGAAGAATTTATTTCATTGAAACCAGTTATTGAGGAGATAAAAGAGATTGTGGAACAGGTCAGGAAATTCCCTGAAGTGTTACCTCTGGAAGTAAGCTTTCAAATTATCATGAAGGTAGTTGAAATCCCTGCAACATTTCATGAAACTGTCACCTTGAGCTTGGTGGTGGAAGAAAAAGTCAAAGAGGTGGAAGAGTTAGACACTGAAGTTTTATTCAGGAAAAAGAAGAAACCCAAAAAGGAAGAGATAATGGCACAAGCACTAGTTATGAAACCAGAAGAAACATTTGAAGAATCATATGTCCTCAAACCCAAAATCAAAGAACATGGGAAGCCAGAGGAGGCAGAGGCCACTATAATTTTAGGCATGCCTAAAATGCCTGCAGAAAAGCCAGAGGAGTCAGTGAGTGAAACTGTCACTTTTAAACCAGTGATTGAAGAGCTTAAAGAAATAGTGGAACACATCAAGAATGCTCCTGAGGCAATGTTGGAGAAAGTGGAGGAAGTGCACTTTCTTGCAACCTTCAAGGAGATTGACCTTCCAGAAACATTTCATGAGACTGTGACACTGCATCCAGCAGTTGAAGAAAATATTCAAGAGGTGGAAGAACTTGACACAGAAGTCACTTTAAGAAAGAAAAAGAAGAAACCAAAAAAGGAAGAGAAAGTGGAAGTGGAGACAGTTACATTGAAGCCCAGTATAGAGGCAGATGAAAAGCCTGAAGAGACTGAGATATCAATTGTCTTGACAAAACAAAAAATACCAAAACAAGAGAAACATGAGGAAGTGGCAGAAGAAGCAACAGTCCTCAAGTTCAAAATGGAAAAGGAAGAAGGGCTCAAGGACTTAGAAACAACTGTTAGACTTGCTAAGCCCATAGAAAGGAGGCCTGAGGAAGTTGAAGAGACCATTGAAGAAACTGTATCCTTGAAGCCAGTTGTTCAAGAAGTGAAGGAAGTTGAAGAAGTAGAAACTGAGGTTACTATAAAGAAAAAGCTGAAGAAACCAAAGGTAAAGGAGACAGATAAACCAGAGGACACTGAAACTGCTATCACAATTACTAAACCTATTGCAATAAAAGAAGAAAAGCCCAAGGAAGTTGAAGGGAGTGTTGAGGAAACTGTAACCTTGATGCCAGTGATTGAGGAAGTGAAGGAAATTGAGGAAGTGGAAGCAAAGGTAATGTTGAAGACAGTACAAAAGGAGGGAGAAATGATTGAGGAAGCAGTAGTGTTCAAACCAAAATCAGAAGAGATTGAAAAGCCAGAGGATTCAGAAACAGCTATCACTATCACCAAACCCAAAACACTGAAACAGAGAAAGCCTGAGGAAGAAGAAACCATTGAAGAGACTGTTACCTTGAAACCAGTGATTGAAGAAGTAAAGGAAGTTGAAGAAGTAGAAACTGAGGTTACTATAAAGAAAAAGAAGAAGAAGCCAAAGGTGGAAGAAGTGGCAGAAGCAGCTCTTATATTGAAACCAAGAGTGAAGGAGACAGATAAACCAGAAGACACTGAAACTGCTATCACAATTACTAAACCTATTGCAATAAAAGAAGAAAAGCCCAAGGAAGTTGAAGAGAGTGTTGAGGAAACCATAACCTTGAAGCCAGTGATTGAGGAAGTGAAGGAAATTGAGGAAGTGGAAGCAAAGGTAATGTTGAAGATGGTACAAAAGGAGGGAGAAATGATTGAGGAAGCAGTAGTGTTCAAACCAAAATCAGAAGAGATTGAAAAGCCAGAGGATTCAGAAACAGCTATCACTATCACCAAACCCAAAACACTGAAACAGAGAAAGCCTGAGGAAGAAGAAACCATTGAAGAGACTGTTACCTTGAAACCAGTGATTGAAGAAGTAAAGGAAGTTGAAGAAGTAGAAACTGAGGTTACTATAAAGAAAAGGAAGAAGAAGCCAAAGGTGGAAGAAGTGGCAGAAGCAGCTATCTTGCTCAGGCCAAAATCTAAAGATGAAGAGAGGCCAGAAGACACAGAAACTGCTATCACAATATCCATGTCAAGGGTACATGATGAGAAGAAACCTGAAGAAGTTGAAACAGTAGAAGAAACTGTAAAAGTTAAACCAATGATTGAAGAGGCAACGTTAGTAGAGGAAATTGAAACTGAGGTCACTTTGGAAAAGAAATTTGAAAAACATAAGGAGGAAGAAATGGTGGAAAAAGTAATTATAAAAGCACCAAAGCCCCAAGATGAAGAGATGCCTGAGGACACTGAAGCAGCTATTACAATCACTAGATCAAAACTGCCTAAACAAGTGAAACATGATGAGGTTGAAGAGACTGTTGAAGAGATTGTAACATTGAAGCCTGTCATAGAAGCAGTGAAAGAATTTGAAGATGTGGAAACAGAAGTAACACTGAAGAAGGAAGTGAGGCCTAAGCTTTTAGAAGAAGTTGAAGAAACTATTGTCCTGAAACCTCGAGTGAAGGAAGAAGAAAAACCTAAGGATGTTGACACAGTCTTCACTGTGCCCAAGAAAAGGGTTGTGAAGGAAAATAAACCTGAAGGCCTTGAGGAGACAATAGAAGAAACAGTAACTCTTAGACCTGTGCAGGAAAAAGTCCAGGAAGTTGAAGAAATAGAAACTGAGGTGACAGTGAAGAAGATCAGGCCTCACAAGGAAGTAAAACCAAGTGAAACTGATGCTGCAGTAACGCTAAGGAGGCCAATGACACACATGCTTCAAGGAGAAGGATCTTTTGATGAAACATTGACTTTGGTTTCTGTTGCTGAAGAAGTTCCAGAAGATGTTGAAGAATCTTTTGATATTGGCCTCAAGAAAGAGAAACCTATAATTCAGAAGGCTTTTGAAGAAGAGGAAGATTCTTTGAAGTTGATTGTCCCAGGGAAAGTTCTTACAATTCAAGGTAAGCAAGCACTCACTGATATAATACCTAGAAACAATTTGCAAAAAAACATCAATCCTTTCACATTTTAGTAATTTGACATGCCTGGAGATTCACAAGGAAACTGTGTTTTGACTGCTTTTCTTCTTTTCTTGGTTTGTCTGGTGTCCATTGTTCCCTTTTTTATATGTCCTTGGATCATGCTTTATCAGGTGTGATGTGACTGTATGTCTCTGTTCTTTAGTATTTCTTTTTGTAAGCTGCTGCATGGAAAGAATAATGAGGTCTACAACTGCAACACTGGTAATATTAGCTGGTTCTTCTTGAGTTGTTATGAATCATGTCAAAGTTCTGGGCCTTATTCCAAAACAGTGAACCTTATTGTCTTTTATCTATCTTCTATGACAACATAGCTCTTATTTCTGCAGAAGATATAGAGGACATAATGGAGTCTGTGGACTTTGGAGCCACCTTCTTTGCAGCTTCAACCTTCGTTCCTGAAAATGTTGAGGCATTGCATCTAATTGAGGGTGAAAAAGTTTATGTTCTTGGTGAGTTTGAATGTCCCCAATGTTGACAGATTCAGATGCACCAGAACTTCAATGACTTCATTCACTTTTTGCAAATTAACTATATCTATCAACAGACCAGAAGAATGAAGAATGGTGGCTGGTAAAGAAGTACCTCACTAATGACACCGGGATGGCACCAGCAAAATGTTTGATGGACAAGGACACATATAAACGTTTCATCCTGGATAAGCTTGGAGAAAAAATTTCCAAACTCCCTGTTTTCGACAGTGAGTTATTTATTTTCTCTTCTCCTTTTTGTAGCTGAAAGCTTAAATCATGACCTCTTGATATGAGAACTGTTGACAGAGCTTCTGCCTTTCCCCTAATTATGGTACCACAAAATATATCCAAGAATCTCATTTTCACTTCTTTTGTGTCAAAAAGTTTCTCCAGAGGGAGGGTTTCATTCTTGCCTTCATGTAACTGTTGAGTCTACTTGGTTGTTCATCACAAATTAAGAAACATTGTCTTCCAGACCAGAGATATGCCAATTAATAATTTCTTGCAGAAGGACATCCTGGTGAGAAACCTGAAGCTCCTGTCATTGTTGAGAGGCTCAAGTTGCAGAAAGTCCAAGATGGTGGCACAATGCAGTTTGAATGTAGAGTTAAGGGAAACCCTAGGCCTGTGATAACATGGTTCAGACAGACTGCGATTCTCAAGCCCAGTCCTGATTTTCAAGTGAGTTGTTGAAATTTCACGTACTACTATATCATTCATGATACGAAAGAAAGCAGCTGACATGGACTAATCTCTCTGTACCAGATATTTTATGATGAGGACAATGTGGCCACATTGATCATACGAGAAGTTTTCCCTGAAGATGCTGGATTGTTCACTGTTGTGGCTAAAAATGTAGCTGGGTTTGCTACATCTACTGCTCAACTCATAGTGGAAGCACCTTTGAGTGATCATGGCTCTGAGTCTACTCAAGTTTCTAGACGCTCCCTATCAAGGTATGATTTGTCTTGTTGATGATTATAGTCATTTCAGTGAAATTGAGTATGGTCTGAGTATGAGAACTGACTTCACTTTCAGAGAATCTAGTCTGGTTGATCTCCTGGAAGGGATTCCACCAACATTTGCCTCTAAACCCACAAGCCGCATTGTAGAAGAGGGAACAACCATGGAGTTGGAGTGTCGCCTTGTGGCTGTACCTGAACCTGACATCACATGGATATGCAATGGGAAGAAAGTCAAGGAAACCAAGCGAATTTCCTTTTTTGTTCAGTCTGATGTACATATGTACTGCCACATTCTTCGCATTGAAAAGGTGACACGGAAGGATGCTGGGATTTATGAAATCATTGCAAGAAATCAGGAAGGTGAAGCAGTCAATGCCATCTCTGTCACAGTACAGGTGAAGTCAATCTAGATATCCTCCATCTCAATCCTGATCTAACTCCATGACAATTGCAATCCATGTCAGCCATGGCTGAGTGCAGTCAAAATGTTAATTATACCTTGAAAACCTCAAGGAGATTGCATCTAAGTAAATAATGGAAGGGCTTCATGCAGGAAGGTGTCAAGTTACATTTAAATTAAAAGCAGGCTATTGCCAAAGGCTTCCTTTAAAGCTTTTCATTTTTAGTCCAAAAGTGGAACTTTTCATATGAGAGATGTGAGTAGTCCTGTGAATGAGAAACCACATGAGTAGCCCTTGAACAATCTTTGCATATATAGATCTATTTATCTGTCTAATCTGAGCCAATCACATTCTCAAAAGAGCACTTAACACTTACTTGCATGGAGCTCTTGATCTTTACCTTTGCAAAAGGAAATTCTGGTATGTTATTGGGGCCAAGAAACCATGAATCATTTAGATGACTTTTATACCCATAGTAACTCCTAGTAACCATAATTCATTCTGTTTCATTCCATTGTAGCCTGCTGGACCACCAAAAGTTTTGGAACCATTAAAGGATATTGAAGTTGAAGAAGGAGGAGAAGTTATTCTTCAGACAAAAATTACTGGGGCACCACAGCCAAAAGTGAAGTGGTTCAAAGATGGGAAAGAACTGATAAACGACTACAAAGTGAAGATATCATCTGAAGGAGAAACTCAAACTCTAATGATCAGAGAGACTAAAAAAGAAGATGATACTGGCAATTATGTTCTCAAGGCCGAGAATCCATCTGGATTTGTGGAGACTTGTGCTTCTCTCCTTGTTAAGAGTAAGTATTGTCACATAGAATCCCACTGATATCCAAACTAACACATTCATCATGCATAATAGCAATGGAGTTAATGGCACAGGTTTTTTTTCTGTCCAAGAGAAGCCACATTATTCAAGTTAGCACTGTCAGTAAGTACAAAATCATGTTACAGTAAATTCTGAATTTTATCATCCATGTTCTTTAAATTAATTTTACATTGTGGTAATGTGCTGATGAACTCTTTATGATGTAATATGTGTTTAAAAAAAAAACGTTATTGTCATTTCCCCTGTTCTTTGTCAATTTTTGATAAAGGCTACATCCAGGCTGTGGCAAGTGGCATAGTTAGTTGGATAGTAGACTTCAGGCTCTTGAAGTAACCTACTAACCTCCTCCAGGAGCTAGATGTCCTAAAGCCTTTTCCAAATGAGCTGGAAGCAAGGACCTCTTAACTTTACAGCTGAGCCAAACCCCCCAGAATTTTTGGAAAAGCCCAAGTACCAAAGGCTGGATGAGAGACGTACTGCCCGATTCACATGTATTGTGAAGGGAAATCCTATACCAGTTGGTATGTATCACCTTCTGAGGAGCATGAGGGAATATATTTGTTCTGGAACTCATCTGGGTTTCTTTCTTTGTTAATGAGCAGTCAAGTGGTATGCAAATGACAATGAGATCCTATCCAGTGAGAGATACACTCTGAGGAACTTAGGAAACAGCCACAGCCTGGAGATAGGTCCTCTAGTCCCTATTGATGGTGGCCGTTATGAAGTCCGTGCCATTAACCCTCTTGGAGAAGCATCATGTACTGTGGATCTAGTAGTAAATGGTAATCTGGCTTCTCTCTCCCCTGTTATGAAGCCATCTTTGCTTGCACTTCATTCATGCAATAGTGAGATCAATCTCTCCTTTGCAGAAATTCCGGTGACACGATTGGAACCACCAACTTTCACAGAGAAGTTCAGTGATCAAGAATGCCCTTTGGGTTCAAGTATGTTGCTGAAAGTGAAAGTCAAATCTCAAGTGACCCCAACTATCACTTGGTACAGGTATGGTATTTGTCATTGCTGTTCTTGTTCAGTTTAGTGGTTTTTATTTTAACAACTTATTTTGGGAACTGGTTGACAATGCTTCTATATATCATTCAGGGATGGGAAGATATTGAAACCTTCAAGATCAATTGAAATTTTATCAGAACAAGACTGGTATATGTTGCAAGTCCATGATTTGAAACCAGAAAGGAGCTTTGGAGAATACAAGGTGGTTGCAGAGAACCCTGCTGGACAAGTGTCACATTTTGCTACTGTCTTCCCACTACCTAAGCCATCAACAATGTAAGTTACAAACTTGTGAGGAAAGTTAATAATGCTTTGAATTGAATTTAAAAAATTTTTTCTCAAGATGAAAGGGTAATTTTATAATTAGTTGTATAAAATCAATGTGACATGAATTTGTGAAACATCAGATGTATATCAAACATTTTATGAGAAAAGTCATTGGTGGGCCACCTTCTTGTTAATTTTTCTACCTAACATCAGGAAGTTGATAGGTAATGAAGCAATGTAGCTTGGTCTTTTAACTATGAATGTTATCAAAGCTGTTGTGAATTCCTTTCCAGCCTATTCATGAAGCCATTGCAAAACCTATCAGTGGAGAAGTGCTGTGAAGTTCAACTGGAGTGTGAGACAAATAGGCCTTGCACAGTCCAATGGTTTCATAGCAAGAAGCCTCTGATGCTTAGTGACAAGGTGGAAACTGTCAGTATTGGTTCTCAACATCGACTAGTCATCAAGGAAGTGACAAATGATGATGCTGGCTCATATGCTTGCACAGTCAATGATCAGACAACGGAAGCAACACTTTCTGTCACTGGTATCAACACTTTCCATGTATTATTTTTGTGTTCAAGTTTATGGGATGAGGTAAGATTGGTGGCAATGGTTGAGCCATGCTTTTGTACAGCAACATTGCCATTTGATAGCAATAACTTTTTCAAAATTTTCAGTATGTGAAGTGCTAGCTTCCACAATCCTGTTCTTTGAATCTTAATGCAATCCATATTCCTAAGTTAATGGAAATGCATAACATAAGGAATACTGTACAGAGTATCCGTAAATTATGGATACACATTGAGAAGAGCATAAAATCTAAACTAGGACTTTCACAACAATAATACTCCAAAATATAGTTGAGGCATTCAAAAAGTATTGCTTAGTTGGCAGTACTGAGATTTAGTTCTCACAGCTTCCAGCAGATGGCCTTCCGTACTAAAATCGGCGAACCCACAGGAAAAGGCTCAATTTGTGCCTTATGGTTTGCAGCTACCAGAAGTGCCACTAATGTACAAAGTAAATTTAGAACAAAGTTTGAGAAGAAGTCTCCAACATGAAAAGCTGTTTACAGTTGGCATAAGAGGATTCTTGAGACCAAATGTTTGTGTCAAAAACCTGGAGCTGGTAGGCCACATGTCAACAAAAACAACAAATGCTTACTTTCTGACTGTCTCTAATGAAGTCAATGACTTCATAAGAATTTTGTTCAGCCCAAATTTGAACATCATGACAATTCACCCTGCCAGAAAGGTGAAATGTTGCCTCATCACTGAAAGCTACTGGAGGTTTCATCACTTTCTGTGCATCTCAGGATTTCACCACAGAAATCACAGCATTTCTGTATGTCATATGGCTTAATCTCATGCAATAGAATCAACTTGTAGCTTTGAAGACACAAACATTTCCTTAACATTTTGTGGAGAGTAGATTTTGGCACTTGCAGTTCATGCCCTCCGAACACTCTTCTTTGGGCTTATGACAAAGGCTTAATGAACTTGTTCCATGGTCTCCTTGTTGACACCTGGTCTACCAGCTCCAGATTTGTGACACAAACATTTGGTCTCAAGAATCCTCTTATGCCAACCATAAATGGCTTTCCACGTTGGAGACTTCTTCCTAAACTTTGTTCTGAATTGCCTTTGCCCACTAGTGGCACTTTTGGTAGCTTCAAACCATAAGGCATTCTGGGCCATTTCCTGTGGGGTTGTTGTTTTTAATAAGGAAGGCCATCTGCTGGAAGCTGTGAGAACTAAATCTCAGGGCTGCCAACTAAGCAATACTTTTTGAATGCCTCAATTATATTCTGGAGTATTAGTGTAGTGAACCTCCTAGTTTAGATTTTATGTTATTCTCAAAGTGTATAAATAAATTGTGGACACCCTTTATTTTATTTTTTCTCAGCTATGTTTATTTTGCATATACCTGTCGTAAATTTTTGGTTTATTTTTGTAGAGCGTGGACCAGAGTTCCTCCAGAAGCTGCACGATTTGGAAGTCAAAGAAACAGAAGCAGCTTCCTTTGTTGTAAAGGTCTCTACTCCTACAGCAAAGGTCACATGGCATAAGGTGAGGGGCCCTGTCTTACACTTCCAGAATTAATTTGCTATTATTACTCATTATTCAGAGATAACCTTGCTTCATGAAATTCAATGTACATTATTATATAATGTGTTCTTTGACACAGGATGGGGAGCAGCTGGAGAAACTAAATGAAAATCTTGAGTTTGTGGAAGATGGTCTCTTCAGAAAGTTGATTATTCATTCTGCAACAGTTCATGAGGAAGGAGAGTACACATGTGTTCTTGGTGATCATGAATGCACTGCAGAATTGACTGTCATAGGTATGCTCACAGATGTAATAGATATGGATATACATTCTCAGTATCAGGGGACTTCTAGTATTAATCCAGCAATGTTGTCTTTGTCCTTGTTGCAGTCACTCTTACCTCACTTTCCTATTCAGTTGACTTGCAAAGAAAACCTCCTTGGTGAGGACAATTTTGGAAGTTATTCCTTCTCTCCGAGTCATCTTTACAGGAGACTTTCAAAGACATGAATTCAATCTACTGTTTTTGCTCAGGGGATGAAGTAATATTTTATTGTTGAAGATGGGTTAGGACATCTTCAATTTCAACTGTCCTAATCCATCTTCAACAATTTGGATTATTGCCCCCAGACTAGGGGTCTCAAATTCATTTTGGTGTGTGGGTCGCATCACCAAGATTGGACCTCTTTGTGGACCAAAGTATAAAATTGTAGAATGAATAATCTTGCACTACCTTATATTGTGTATATTGGGCCTGAAACATTTATTTCCTGGTGTACACAGATGGGTCACAGCCACATTGAGAGCACCTTTGGGCCATAAGTTTGAGACACTTGGATTAGAACTATGAAAGCAGTGGATTAGATTGAGAGAAGATTGAAGAGCAATTCAGAATGAGAGAAGTGTTTAGCACAAGGACAAGGAGTTTTGGAGGAGAAAAACTCATGACTTTGCCTTAACTCTTCACAAAAGCCATAATAATGATGGGGTCTCTGGATATGCTTCACCAGGATAGGCTCAGGGAGGCAAACAAAAAGAGAAGTTTAAGGGGATATCAATAATATTCGTAAACTTTTGGGGTTCAAGGTTTTTTTTTACTACATCTGCATGTGCTGATCCAAGTTTTTTTGTTCCCTCAAACAAATAAGAAAAAATGCATGGCTGCAACACTTTTGTACACATAGGGTTGCACTTCCAATATGTTATAATAATTTCAACCTATTTTCATTCTAGACATGTCAACTTAGTTTTAAAAAATAAAGCAGGAACGCCTGTGGAAAGTTTCCCTCCATACTGGAGAAGGGTATGGTATTGCTCCATGCACTGGTGGACACATAGGGGCTTGTCACAGGTGTCACACATTTAATGCCTTTCTTGCTTCTTTTTTGGACCCAGGCATGCATAGGTGCATGCCTGACATACACTAGTGTTTCCAAAAACTTCTGTCTTCAGATTTGGGTAGGTGCTTGAGTAATTGTGGATTGAACTTCCTCACATCAGCATGCATAATGTACAAAACAGCATGATCTCAGAAGTGTTATAAAGGACCAGTTCTTCATTTTCTTCTGGAATATTTCCTTGTAATATTGGTTTGTCTCCTGTGCCAACTTTTGCTCAGTTCTGGTGTAAAAAGGTCAGTAAAAACTATTGCTCTGTCAATTCCTTCATAATATTTGCATCTGGTTTCACGTCACTGTTAGTTAAGTCAAATGGATTGATAACTAAGACAAAAATCTCTTCATTGTTCCCCTCATGCAGCTGCAATCCACTCCATCTTTGTTTAGCTGCAGGCAACAGCAAATCTTTGATTGTCTCTGTTACAATTTGACTCAAAGGATGATTCCACATCTTCAGGAAATCCCCAGAAACAGAAGTCATATGAATTATTATTCAAGTCTAAATCTAAGTCAGAATGTAGAAAATTTTCAACAATATCCTCTTTTGATAGTTTGTGGTGAGCCATGTTTACTGGACTGCAGCAGAATAGCTGATAGAAGTTACCACAATACTACATATGACTAGGATTTGAAATGCAATGTCAGTGTCTGGCTACATGTCAGGACAGGTGATCAGGATAGTAGCAAGAAAATGCAAAATGAGATATCTTGGGGGTGGGTCAGAGTAAGGTAATGCACGAATGTGAGATATCTTGGGCATGGACCCAAAAAGGTTAAATTCTCTAAACATGTGCAAGTGACCTTAGCTAAGTGGAACAGGATCTTAGGCTTCATAGTGGAGTCAGTTGCCTGTCAGACTTTTTTGTCATTCTTCCATGGTACACAGTATTGTTAAGGCACTGTTTGGAGTATCATGTTCATTTCAGGAGAAGGCTTTCAAATGAAGGGGATTTAATGTTGCTGGATATGTTTCAGAGGTAGATTGCAACAATAATGAAAATAGGGGGCTTTCATATGAGCATAATACAGAAGAGTTTGGGCTGCATTCACGAGAAACAATGTTAACGAGTGGATCTTATTCAGGAACTTAATCACACATTGAGGGCTTCCATGGTGAGGAGCATCTTAGATATTTCCAGCCAAAAGGTAACAGCTAAAGAAAAATTCAGGATGAATAACTCTCAAATTAGATTTAATTGACATAATGGCTTTCTCACTTGTTGGGTTGCAGATTTATTGCATTTATGTTAAGTAAAAATGTAATGGCTGTACCTTCTGTGAACAGCTATCAGAAAAGGTAATGAAAGAACAAAAGGAGGAAAATATTCCTGTCAGAGTTAGACTGCATGTTTTCCTGCTCCCACCAAAGCATTTGTCTTTAGAAGGGTAGGCCTGCATTAAATGAGCCCTGAACTTTGACATGGGATGTCAAGAGGCATTCTGCCATTCCTGCAAAATCAAAGTTCAATGTTCATTTGAAACAGGGTCAAAGTGGAATATCAAAGCAGGCTGAAATGCTGCCGACATCCCAATCCAAATCTTAAAGCTCCTTCATGAAACTTGAATAAGGATCATGTTCACCTCTGTTTCAGGGAAGATTGTCACTGTTGTGATTTGTTTCCTTACCATTGTGAATGTTTCAATTTCTGAAATATTGGTTTGGAAAGTTTTCCATATTTCTCCGAGAGAAATATTTAAAAAAATTAATTTAGAATTTTCTTTTGCAATATTCTTTAATTGTCTGCCAGAAAACTCTCTGGTGTGGATGGTCCCCTAGAGTACTTCATTATTGCATCTCTGCTTTTCTTAGAGCTCAAAAGTAATTCTAAACTTTTTTGGCATTGACTAAGAGAAAATCCCTTAAATGGATTTCCCGGTGCAGAACTTCCACCAGACTTCATTCGTCGACTTGAGGATGTGGCTGCATGTGTTGGAGAAGTAGCAGTCTTTGAAGTTCAACTCAGCAAAGGAGATGCTCTAGCAAAATGGAGCAAAGATGGACAAGATTTGGTCCAGTCTGATCGTGTTAAAGTTGTGATTGATGGCAAGCACCAAAGACTCATCATATCAGACTGTATACTTTCTGACGAGGGATCCTATTCTTGCATGGTTGGAAACAAGAAGTGCTCTGCAAAGCTCACAATTCAAGGTAAGGTGTCTCAACACCAAAAAGCTTTTGTTATCAATATTTTATGGCACCATGCCAGGATCAAACAGTTAACAAACATTACAAATATTCATAGAACCCCCTGCAAAATTCACAAAAGAGCTTCCCAAAATCACCGAAGCTGCTGAAAAATCTGATCTCACCCTGGAAGTGGTTGTCAGCAAAGAAGATATTCCTGTTAGGTGGACCAGGTTAGCTACATCAAAACTCTATTTTAACTTTGGTATCATTGCCATTCCTTGGTTATGCCATGCATTGAGTTTCCCATTCTCTATCCCATATGTGCAGGAATGGAAAAGTACTTAGACAAAGTGACAAGATAAAAATTGTACAAGAAGGAAAGACACACAAGTTGATAGTCAAAGATTTGAGAAAGGATGAAGAGGATGCAGAATATATATGCTCTTTGGAGCAGATCACTACATCCACCCACATCTTCCTCACAGGCATGGACCTAATGGAATATTACCCAACTTCTGTGTTTTATCTCACATGCCTTTCATTTGGCATGTCTAATTGATTGCAGCACTTGAGAAGCCACCTCTCATCTGTCGGGATGAACTCATCACCATGTACAAGGTGAAGGAGGGAGAGCAGCTTGTGATTGATGTCTACTTCAGTGCATATCCAGAGCCTTCTGCTGAGTGGACCTTGAATGGAAAGCCAACTGACAAGTTAAAAAATGTATGATATCTTTTCCCCCTTTGAATAATATAATAATTGCATTCATTCAAGTGGATCAAAACAATGTGCAAGAACAGTTTTCACTGCATTGCTAGTGAATGAATGCAAAGAAGTATCATGCTCTTTTAATCCCTCATAGATTGAGAAAACTGTCAAGGAGACCTATGTGAGACTCACTGTGCAGAAGATTGAAAAGTGCCACATTGGCACTTACTGCTTGAGACTGGCCAACCCATGTGGAGACACTGCAGTTGAAATCACAGTCAAACTTATTGGTTAGTTGGGATCACTCGAAAGAGTTCACATCATGATCATAAGCCTAAACATGGCTGGAAAATTCAGTTGGACTTTTCATTTTTCTGAGCTTGTTTTCATTGATGTGACTGATGAGAGACTAACATGAAGTGGAAGCCTGTTGAAGAAAGTGGAGATCAATTATAATCTTTACACTACTAACTATGAAGAGCAAATTTTAAATCAAATCCTAGGCCAGAATCCTAATTTCTTGAATTCTTGAATTGATTCTTGAAAAATCTCAGGATCATCTCTCAATTTATGAGGATTCAAATCCATTGATGATTCTGTTAGGATTTGAATACTAACCTCCAATATTGGATATGGATATTTGAAGAAAATGTAGAATCCCATAGCAGAACTGAATTGTCATGGATTCCCATATATTTGTGTACTTCCCATATATAATGGGATTTGAATTGGATCTGGTTGAATCTAGGAATTACTGAAGTAGGTTGTACATATTTTTAATGTTATAGCCATTAGTAGATGTGTTGATGTCTGTCAAAATTTTACTTTCTTCAACATTGAGCTCTACCCTATCTCCAGAGATTTACCCTATAATAAATAAATAAATATCCTTCTGCTGGTTTTTAAAGTAACTTATGAAATGATGCAAAATAAAAATTGTTGAGTCTTCCTTTGAGAACATGTGGAATGCAACTCAATCCTGCATCTTCTATTTAGCTCATGAATAAAATCTTAAATTGAATAGTATATGTAATTCCTAATTATGGAGTAAAATTTAAAAATCCCTGAAGCTCTCATGAATAGCCAGCCATTGGAGTTAAATTATTATTTGGATGCTTACATCACTAGTGTTTATATGGTACTGCTTATGGAGGTAAACATGAGATTTGAGCAGTGAGGCAAAGCTACATGTGTAATAATTTGGATGTTATACAGAGAGACCATCAAAACCTGGAGCTCCAACTTCAACAGAAATTACAAATTCTTCTGTCACCTTGCACTGGAAAGTTCCTGAATGTGATGGATGTTCACCCATCAAGGGTTACATCTTGGAAAGCTATAGCAAAGCAACAAAGAGGTAAGTTGAATCTTCACCCATTTGGAATTCTGCCATTCTTCAATATTGTTACACTGATCTATGTTTTCCAGGTGGATTCAAGTTGTGGAGGGCATAAAAGATACAACTTACACAGTCACAAATTTAAATAGGGGTCAGGAAATTAAATTCCGGGTCTATGCTGAGAACAACATGGGGCTCAGTGATTCCTCAGAGGGAGAGTACATTACAGTGCAAGCTCCTATGAAGCCTGAAGCACCAATAGTCAAACAACCCTTGGAGGATGTTTGCATTGGTCTGGGCAAAGAATTGACAATGAACTGTGTCATAATTGGCACACCAACCCCAGAAATCAAATGGCAAGTGGTTTTCATTTTCTCCAGTTTCTTTTCATTTGATCTTGAATTAGTCTCATCATGTGCTTATCCAATATCAATTTAGGTTCAAGAATGGCAAGTTGCTGAAGACCAGAAAGATGACATATGAGAGTGGAGTGGCCACTCTTCACATGGGGGAAACCACAGAGCTCAGTGGAGGCGCATACACATGTCAGGGATGTAACCATGCTGGCAAAGCAGAAACAACATGCAAAGTCAAAATCCAAGGTTTTTATTCGCTTCCTTTTTCTGTTTCTTTTCTGTTTGTGAAATGTAGATTTTGTGTGCTTGTGAAGTGGGGGAAAGAGTCAATTGTATTTTTTCATTTGCTTAACTATTATATAGAGCGGCCAAGCCTTGAATATCAAGAGGATCTACTTCATCAGAGACTGAAAATTGGAGAACAATGGAAAGTTCCTGTAAAAGTCTCAGGCTATCCATCACCACAGATTGAATGGAGGAAGGATGGAGAATTGATAGATTCTGAGCAGAAAGTAGCAGTTTATACTGAACAAAATGAGACTGTGATTGCCATCTATTCCTTGAAGCGAGAGCATTCTGGTTCATACACGGTGAAAGCTAGCAATGATGCAGGCATTGAGACAATAAGTTTCATCCTGAAAGTCATAGGTGAGTTGAAAGTCCATGAATTTGGAGTCAAAATCTCATTTATATATGTTCATACTTCACATAACATGTTCTTGCATTGATGGAAGCAATCATATCAAAGGCAGAATCTTTTCAAATTCTATCAGAGAGTGACAGTAGCAATGTAGTTTTCATTTTTTGTTTTTTAATAGTTGCCTTTTTTTTAAGCTCTAGTTTTTTTTCAAAATGTTAGAGTCTTGTGTGATTTGAATGAGTCTCATCCATAGTGGTTTTCTTTTAGTCTTCTACATAAGTTACCAATGACCTTGCAATGTTTTAGCCTCTTAATTTTAGTGATAAAACTATTCCTGTAGACTATATAAACACATACTTTCTCATCAGACAGGAGAAGTCGCAGCAAATCCGGCTCTCCAACAGAATTATTAGGTAAAGGAAACATCACATATGTGCAACCTATTGATGTTAGCATTGACCTCCCATGTGTTCTTTCCATGCACCTCTTTGCTATTTTGTAGCTCTCCATCCCAGTCCAGATCATGCTTCAGATGATTCCCACTAATGCCTTCCATTGTGTACATATGTAATATTCTTGGCTTTGAAACCCTAGTCATATTTTTTAGGATAATGTAAGTGAAATCAATTTGTAAGCAGCATCTCCATTTGTACCAATATTCTGGTTGATTCTGGTTGGCATTGTTCTGAAATGGTGTAGTACCCCCAACTCATACTCCAGTCACTCTATGGAATTGTCAGTAAGGCTCATCTCTGCCGTTCCTTTCCTTAACCTTGAGCACCCAATTACTTCTAATATAGGTCACTTAAGACGTTGGTAGTTTTCTTCTCATGACTTTATCATTGAAATTTCTAAATATTCTCCATATGTCTTCTGTCAATCTATCCTTCTTTTAGATATCATTTCCATCCATTCTCATATGCATGAAAGAAAGGGAGATTGCTGTTATAACTGGTTAACCCCAGACTTGACAGTAGAATAGAAGGATGTTCTTAAAAATACTGGTATTCAGAATATCAAATGTCTTTAATGTTAATCCAGGAAGAAACTGTATGATTAATTGATAAAGGCAATTTATAGAAAGATGATAATGCCAGTGATGTCTGCTATGAAGAGATATCAGAAATGTTGCCAAATGTCAGTGTTGGGCAATAATTGAAATACAATTATAGAGTGCTTGAAATACAAAGTAAAAAATGCTACATGTGTTTAAAAAAGCCTTTTTCAAGTAATTGTATTTCATACAAGATTTTCTGCAGTTTGACTTACCTTGGTTTGTTTCCTAATTGAAAATTTTGTTCCCACATGTCCAATGTGGAAGATTATTGCAATCAAAATGCAATTATTTTGAACCAATATTCATTTTTATCTTTTTTTTTGGGAGTGGACTAATGTCTGTAGCTTAAGCCTCAAGGTGAGCCCTATGTGCTCTCACTCAAAAGAGAGGGATGGGGAAGGGAGAAAAAACATTTCATACCAGCAGAGGTTTGCCTGAGGCCAGGATTGTCGCCAGTACATGTCCTGTTTAGGAACTTGACTTATGAGTCAATCTGATTTTGTTAGGTCATCCTAGTTGACCAGGTCCAGGTATTTAAGGCATTTGAATCTGACCCATGAATATTTTGGGCACTCCATCACATAACAGAATGGTGTCTTCCTCTGAGCTACATTTGGGACAAAGAGGGGATTTCACCTTACTAGTATTGTGTCTGTGTCTTGGAAGGTTACTGTGTCCCTTGAATGTTTGCACCATATTACATAGAGCATACTTAAGCAGATCAATTAGGGCCCTTACCAAAAGCTTGGATGAAGTTTGGATAAACTCCCTAGACTGCCTGCTGTCAGTTTTCTTCTCCACAAGCTGATGTGTTGCCCTAGGATCCACTGCTTCATCCTTGTCTGGCATTTCCTAATTGACTAGGAATGGCAGGTTCTGGGGCCTTGGAGCTTAGTATTAGATCCCATAAACCATGGCATTAGCTTGCTCACTGCCTTCAAATTTGAATGATCTGTGATCCAATTTAGTGAAACAGCAATGTTTTTAGCCTGTCTATTTAACCTCTCAATGTATTTCAGTACTGTGAGGCTTGGGCTTGCAAAGTTGCTCAAAGCTGTCCAGCTATCACTGAAGATAGGTATTGTGTTATGATACCTCAGTCATCAAACTTGCTACTTTTACAATCACAAGAAAACCTCAGCATGGAATATAGTTGTGCATTTCCCAAAGGGGAAGTTAAGTCATGCCTTTCAAGAATACAGTCTTGGAAAGTTTAGGCTGCACTAGCATTGCTTAAAAACCTTGAACCATCTTTGAAACTAAAAAAAGCACAATTGGTTTGGAGAGAGGCTAAACGAGAGGAGAAATTTCCCCCTAAACTGATCCATAACCAAATCTATGATCAAAAGCAAATCTTAGGGTGCAAGCTTCACAAGACATGTTCAAAACATCCATCTTTGGCATACCCTGATTATGCACTTCCAGGTGGTTTTTTCAGCATTGGCTTGGGAGGGAAGTTTCTAACTCAGATTTATGTCCAAGAAAGCACCTAGATAGCAAGTTTGGCAAGAAAGTTCTAGTTGCTTACTTCAGTTGTTCAGTCCTCTTCCTTATCTGTTGAATATTTCAACTTTGGTTTTGTCTAGATTGAATCTCAGGTTGTGTGCTACACCCCACCTCTTAGCTGACCTCAGAGATCTTTGGACAAGGTCTTTTTTAGTGATGGTGTCGCACCCAATCTGAAAAATTGTTAAATCACTTTTATAATTATGCACACATACAGATATACAGATTCAAGGCTAGAAAGGAGGTCATACAGAACAAAGTTTCACAGTAGTGGAGACAAGACTCTTCCTTGGGGAATCCCCCTCTACTGCCTTCTTTTGTGTTCACCCATTGCTAAAGCACTCCAGTATCTCAACATAAACTTGATCCAGCAAATCACATCTGGTCCACCCAGTAGTCCTTTGGTAACTCATCAATGGATTTCAAAGTAGCATCATCAAAGACCTCCTCGTTCTCCAGAAATACTCCAGGGGCAGACTATCCATTCCTTCTAAATGTTTCCCTCCAAACAGTGCAGTGCTGTCAATAGAGACTCCTGACTACTTAATCTAGCCCTTAGGAACTGAGACTGGGACCAGTACCAGTAGAGGCATCTTTCCAGAATTTTCAGGAGTTTTGATCTAACAAGATTATACTATGAATGCAATTATTTTTCTTTATTATTAGAATACATCTGTTACATACTAGTGTGCAGCATAATAGCATTCAAATGTACAGGGTGTCCCAAAAGTCACTGTGCACCTGGTGCATTATCCTGCATGTACCAGGTGCATAGTGACTTTTGGGACATCTTGTATAACAATTTAATTGAATGCAATAAAAAGGAAGTTTTACATCCCTGACAAATTTTGCATCAATTTCATTCATTGTAATTGAAAGGGCCTATTCAGTAGTGCAAAATTTCCTCTGCTTGGAACCTTTATCCATGGAACTTGGACAGGCTGCTTTGTTACATTATGTGAAGATGTACACAGTATGTGTGTCATTAATGATTCCTTATTGAACCAAAGTGTATGAAAAGAAACAGACTCCAACAACTTGAGTGGCATGTCTTAACTAGCTCAAATTCATAAGTTTCTTGCTATCATTTACTCCACATCTAATTGTTTTACCCTCAAAACCCATGTAGAGGGGCCAGTCAATAAGATCCTGCAACCAAACCATTCCTCCATTATTTCTGTATGTATGAAGACAAAAGTCACTCTACCTTCTCCACATAATTCCCTTGCAAATCAATGCGCTTCTGTGATCTCTTTCTCTGCTTATGGAAACACCTGGTGTTATCTTATTTGGGTATGTGCTGAAGACACTGAAAAACTGCTGATCCCAGAGCATCTTGGGTGCTGTACCATTTCCCATGTAAGGCATTCTTCAGATTGGAGAATAACTAACGATCCCATGGTGCCAGGTCATGTGAATAAGGAGAGGAGGGTGAAGCACCATCAGCATGTTTTCCTGCTCCAGGAACACCAAAACAATTGCAGAGTGGTGGGCAGAGGCATTGTCATGATGGAGCAGAAGGTGTTGATTAGTATGTTACTCCTGGAAGGTGTTGATCACCTTAGGCCACGTTTCTGTGAAGTAGAAGTGTCCTGTGGCTGTCCTTCCTTTTGGTTCTGGTATCTGCACCTCTGGCATGAAGAAGATCATGTAAAGGACCTTCTCCAAACTTTCCTGACAATATGCAACCAAGGGTCAAGCACCACCTTTGGCCACCCATGCCATGTTATGCAACTTTCATGGTGATTCAAAGAAATGAAACCAGGTCTCATCCTCAGTGACAATGTTTTTGCATGCCTCAATCCCTCAGGTTCAGAATTTTCTGAATAGATCAGCAGCAATTTCCACCTGCTCCATCTGCTGTGTAAGCATGAGGACATGGAGAACCTGTCTCATGCAGATCTTTCCCATGTGTAGATTCTCATGGAGAATAGTGTGAACTGTGCCATGGGATAGACTCACTTCCCCTGCTTATCATCAATAGCTTGCTTTTTGTCATCTCTACAATTTCAACCTACACAAACTACATTTTCATCAGAAGTATCTGAGATTGGGCATCCTGACCTGGGGTCATCCTCCAGGGACTGAAAGCCATCTTTGAAGCTATGTACCTTCTCAGCAACAGTGAAATGAAGAAACACTCTCATCCATTACTTTCAACTTCATCCTTCGCTATGAATGTCCTTTGCAGAGCAATTCAATAATGAACACATCATGATTCATGCATGAATTTCTAAGTTAATAAATTAAGCCATTTTAAGTCAGTATGTGTATATGACCTTGGTAAATTTGTTCTCTATCTGGAAGAAGAAGCAATATATCAACATTTCTGTTTAAATGAAAAATGCAGAGATCAGACTGATCAGTCAGGAAAGATCAGAATGGTCTGTCAGGAATCGTGCTTAAATCCTAACTCTCCTATTAATCCTGTAAATATGCATCAGTTGCAGGAACATATTGACTGACACTCATATATCCCAAAGGTGTCCCGGAAATAAGTTCTAGGGACGTCTTAGAGATGCCCAGGATATCCTAAGGAAGAAGTCCCATTCCTGAGGGATATCCTTGAAATGTCTCTCTGCTATGTTAGGAGGCTTTGATAAGACTGCATCCAGACATTCCCTCAACTTTTGAAAGCTCCTACACACACCCCCCAACCAAAGTAATTATGCCCAGGCAATTCAGCATCATTACTGAGACTATTACAGAATGAATTTAATGAAGGTGCAAAATTTGTAACTTCCTCAGTGTCAGTTTTCTAGATACATCATAGAAAACTGATTGAGATTGATCAGAGGTTGGAAGTCAGGGCATGAGAGAGACTTTTCCTGTCAAGATCATGCACCTGGAATTCATGTCCTCTGCAAATAAGCTGTACATCAGAAGGAGATTTATTTTTACCTTTTACAGGCTGCATCAGCTTTTGGGTTAGCACATCATGGGTTGTCATGTACTGCCTCACAATATGATGTTGAATGAATTATCCTTTTGAGTAAAAAGAGACAATAATAAGTATGGCAACATTGTCTACAATAGTGTGATGATGCATTAAGGAGACATGTCAGGAAGAAGCATTCAATGTGAGGTGTCCCTATAGTGTCATGTGATAATATTGAGATTAGTAATCCAGTTTTGGACTTTCCTGGGATGTGTTCGTTCTGTGCTGGTATGTACAATGGCAGGATGTCCTAGAGACATCCCTAAGAAGTGTTGAAGACATCCCTCTTGAGATTTAAAAAAAATGTTAGACTATAGGTGCCATTAGAAGGTTTCATGAAGACCTTGGAAGAAGTTGTCCAGTTTGGGACATCCCTGGGATGCCTGTATTATGTGGGTTAGCTGCTGCCCTCATAAACTACTCATTCATGAAGCCCTTTAAGAAATTCTCTGTCCTCAATAGAGCATATCTACAAGGATTCTGCAAGGCTACAATCCTTTCTTTCTTTTTTTAAAGTAAACCTAAGGAAGAACTATAAATCAGCCATTTAGCATTGCTCTTCACCATGTGCTTCAGTTCTTCATTTTCACATCTACTCAGTTGCAATTGGAGTTGAATCCCTTTGGGTTGCCTTCAAATTTTTAGGAAATTAATACATTTAGGATTTCTCTCTCTGATCTGACTTTGCATTCTTGCCCAACTTGGAGAAAAATTGATTGAGCAGATGCAGTCCAACATTTTATCTAACATTGTGATCAGGGAATAAGTCTCCTCTGAGTGGCATCTTTCATAACAGTCATTCTTTCTTAATCCCCATTCCCTTCAGATCGACCTGGGACACCTGAGGGCCCATTGCTTGTCAAGAGTGTCTCTACAGAGTCTGTGACACTACAATGGAAGCCACCAATTGATGATGGAGGAGTTGATATCTCTTACACCATCGAAAAGCTTGATATTCTAAGGAAAGTGTGGATGCAGGTGAGTAATTGAGATTTTCAATGCAGGCATATTTTTTTAATTGACATTTTGACCACTGGAAATATCTAACTCCATGACTTTCTAGGTTACAAATGTCTCAGGAGACATTCACAGCTACAGTGTTCAAGATCTGGTAGATGGATCTGAGTACATGTTTAGAATATTTGCTGAGAACATCATTGGACGTTCTGAACCTCTCCTGAGTGATACTGTCATCGTGAAGAGTCCTCATGGTATGTGCTTGCCATAGCTGATTCCTAAATATAAAAGTATGATCCTGTAATCCAGTGCAAACAACTCTATTTTGATCATTTATATATGATACTGTTGCACTTTATATATTGTATACTATCACAAATGATATTGATAAAATGATGAAAGTTTAACTGGTGCAAGTGCTCCAAAATGCCATAATAATTCAAAAGGAAAAATTATCCTTGTCTGAGCCCTGAAGAACGGTTTGGAAATTCTGTCACCTCAGTACATTGTAAAAGAATGTGGTTTTATTTGTTGCCCTTGTTATCATTCTCTTCTTTTTTAATTATAGATAAGCCAGGTCCACCACTGGGGCCATTTGCCATCACTGGAATGACAGAAACTAGCTTTACTCTTGGATGGAATCCACCTGAGCATGATGGAGGTCTTCCCATCCTGGAATACAGCATTGAAAAGAGAGAAGTTGGAAAGAAGGCTTGGCAGAAAGTGGAAACAATTGAAGCTAGCAAAATCAACATTCAGATTACAGGCATGAAGAAGAATATTGGCTATCACTTCAGGGTTTCAGCAAGAAATGAAGTGGGGTGGGGCTCACCCCTTTCACCTGATGAATCTATCACAGTTGGAAAGAGATTCAGTGAGTTTAAATCCTAAAAGTCCATAGCCATTCCCTGATATTTGGTCATCATAATAGTCTGCAACACTGTTAACATGAATAAAGCAATGCAACCAATCAGATACCCTTGAAACATGAAAATTTAGGTCTTATAAACACCATTTTGCCAAAAGTCAAGCCCCATTCATGAACATGGTCATTGCTTTTTCACCTGCCAATCACCCCTGTTGGGTCCCCCTAGGCAAAGGTGGCTTGAACTCAGTCTGGCCAGATAAGGTTTCTTGCATAGGCAAAATCAAGATTAGTACAGAGGAGAGGCTGGCTAGAGAGACACCTCTCCCCCCTCTGACCTATACAAAAAAAATGTTTGTGGGTGGAACAGCATGGAATGAAGAGCAAGACATGTGCAATGAGCAGGGTGGTGAAGCACCCCTGTGGAAGGAGAAGCTGTGCCAAACACCCACATCACAAAATATATCACTTGTGAATATGCCTTGTTCAACTGATCTGCACAATTATAACAGATTCTTTTCTCAGTGCTGGCAGCCATTCATTTCTCCTGTACAGGTGATTTGGGAACTCATGTAAATAAACATTTTAATTGTTGATTCCTACAATTTTGCAGCACACCAATGAAGCCTTGCCACTACCCTTCAAAGTAATCAAATATTATTGAGAAAATGAATTAAACCTGGGGACTGCCTAGAAAATAATGGGACAATTAAGAAATGTATGTACAACCTGCTGCCAAGGGTTAATCTACTAGTGTAAATTTTTGTTGGTGGGGAGGTGGGCAAGAAAATCTGCATCTGCACTTGCAAGTGAAGTAACTACACCAACAAGCCAATGCTGCTGTTTTCATAGTCATAGAAACAGCTCCCTTACATCATCACATGCACAAGGTCCTACCCTCCTCTCTCTGGCAGGGGGTTGGCCCATGATACTTCCATCATGCTATGACAGTATGCATTGCATTTTCAGGATAGGTCCAGAAGTATTTCAATAGCTAGAATGGACCTACCCCCCAAATGGTCCCCAATTACTATGCCATGTTAGAATGCACTATTCTCCTATCAAGCTGGCATCATGCTGTCAACTGATATTCCAGACATTGACTTGGCCTTATATACCTGTATGCAAGGTTACTGAGGTCCATAGTGACATTACAGCTTTTCAATCACCATTTGCATCAGTGGGTCTTGACTTTTTGCAATACAGTTGACTCTTGTTATATATGGGGGTTGCATTCCCGAACGTGCTAGATTTTGACCTTTCAAGATTAATTTAATTCATCTTGAAAGGTCGAAATCTTGCACGTGTTCGGGAATGCAACCCCTGTGTATAACAAGAGTCAACTGTATAGTGTACCATGGTTACAAATAGCAGTTAGTCATTTCCCTGGTGACAAGATGATATCATGCCATGTAGGATTATATTTTTTACTTGTTTTTAGTGCAGGGGTGTCCAAAGCTTCAGAGTCATAGGCCACATTTGAAGTAAATGAATGCTGCTGGCCATATAGCTAAAAAAAAATGTTCCCCCTATTTTTTTAAATAATATATGAGAAATACAGAAGTAAATGAGGAAATTTTGGGAACAATATCATGCATATTATTCACTTAAATGCAAAACATGCATTGTGAAGGATTTGGCCTGCAGGCCATGCTTTGAGCTCTTATGTTTCAGCACCATTGATTAGTACCTGCTCATCAAAAGGCTCAATATTTTTTTAGTAATATAATGAATATGACTAAGCACATTTCTGAAATTTCATTTAAATTACCCACCAGGATAAGGGAGATTTTTATATAATTCTCAACCAGGGAAAGGGAAGAAGAAGACTCTTCCTGTGAACAAACTTATTTCTTATTTAGGTATGTTATGCCTTGTATCTTGATCAGATCCCAACCCCACTATGTGGTTTATCCTAGTTTTTATGCATGCATTTATTTCATTTTAAAATTATTTTTCCTTTACTACATATCTCTCCAAAAATGTCATAATTCAATGCTAGCTTTGTAACTCACCATGCAGTAGACAAGAACAACTTGTTTTCTTGAGCAAACTTGTTTTCTTGAAAATATTTCATCTCTCTCTCACCCGCACACATGCTGAGTTTCAAATGTTCTGTCTCACTAGCATCACTCCTACCACAAATAATATTGTTTTTTCTTTTATGAGACCAGGAGTGATCAGGTGAACATGACTGAGAAATGAATGGGGCTAAGTCTTTTAACAGCATGGATGGGAGGTCCTGGCACCAAAGACATAAAATCTGATTGGGACAAGAGCCATATGCATGGGAGATGGTGGAGCTGAGCTTTTTTTAAATGCATAATGCATGCATAAATATTGTCTGCCATGTCCCAGGGTCCACCCTATCAATGGATGATGAAGATGCCAAGTAAAGGGCTGTGCAATAAGAAAATGCAAACAAATCAAGAAGTGGGAAAAAATTATTTAAATTAAAAAAAAAAACAAGTTTAATGTTTACAAATATTATTTTTTAAACTATAAATGATCATGTGGTTTGCCAACTCTGGTTTTGAGGGAAGTGGAGTTTCTTGCTCCCACCTTATCTCTTACCTCCTATGGGTAAAGTTTGCAGTGACAACACTGTAAACATTCTAATAGATTTATTCATTACAGACAGCACAAAATTTAGCTTGTCAGAAGAGGTTACAGGATAAATTGGAGGTGCACAGGATTTGAAGCAGGGTGGGTAATTTGATAACGAACTGGTTGCCAGGAAGAATGCAGAAAGTCATAGTAAATGGATAAATGTCAGCAGTAGTGGGGGGTCATTAGCAATGTCCCCCAGCTCTCTGTCCTTGGACTGCTTCTTTTTGTTGTGTACATGAACAAATTTAGATCAAGGCCTTAAAAATAAAATCAGCAAATTTGCTGATAACGCCAAAATAGGTTTCTCCATCATCAATTTAAAATCGCAAAATAAATTAATTATGTAGTGTGGTGAGCTTTTCCAGTTTGATGTCGATGTCAATAGCAGAACAAGAGGAAACTTCTTCAAGCTATTTAACCCCACATGAAACTCAGTCACAGAATGACTTCTTCGCTTCTAGAGTAGTGAATGCATGGAATGCATCATTTGATGATATAATGACTGTCCTTTCCATGACAAGCTTAAAAATGGTTAGATGCTTACCTTTATCAATAAAACCAAAAAAAGGGGAGTAATGCAGCTGTAAGTAATGGTAGTAGGTGGATATGTTCCAACAAAAGTATTAATCTCTTAGAGGGCTAGGCTTATCTCATTTCTTATGCTTGCTTGCCCTTAACACAGGACATGATAATGGGAAGAAAAATCCTTCTTGATATTCTAAACCTTGAAGGCAGAAAACCTTGAAAATCAGTTCTATCAATATTGCATTGAATATTGGCTATTATTTCCAATTAAATTGGATATTTTATTCAATTCCCGAGGAGGGCTAAAAGCTGTGCAGTTCATGTAAACTCATGGGCTATTAGTGGAAATGTAGAATGAATTGAAAGGATTGGAGCAAAAGACTCCTCTGAATGAAGCACTCAATTTTCTTCATGGATTGTTTCAATTGTCCCATTGTCACCAGGAACTTCTTAATAACTTCCTGAGAAGACAGGGTGGAGATGGATCAGATTGTATTCCACAAATAGGTGGATCAATCCATAAGATGCCCCATCATGAAGAGCAGAGAGAATAAAAGAGGTATTAGCTATTAAACCAATTATTACTATCAGCAGCATTTCGTGTATTTCATCCTATTTCCTACTTTCAGTCTTGTACCTAGTACAAAAAGTGGGTTTCAAACCCATGGAACCCCAACCACCTTGATCACACCACAGAACACTTATAGGTGATATATGCATAGATCATCATTGAAGAGAAATCCCTGAGCATAGTTTAAAATTTGGATTTGGAACAAGGATGGCATCTAATTAGAACTACAAAAGCAGAATTATGCCAGCTAGGAATACGTACAACAATTTCATTTTGTTCTAGCATGATTGAATATCATGTCTCCCAGCTACTTGGGGAAAAAGGGGAGAGTTTCAGTTCCCATTTTCTGCATAGATGTTCCTGGCAAAAATCTAATCGAAGTAGGGCAATTGGGATTAGTCTTATTAAGGGCTGTCCTTGGCCCTTACACAAATGCTTAGTAAGTGCACTGGAGATGTGCATCGTAGAACTTGATATATTGGTTATATATGCACCCAGCTCTAAAACTTCTCTGAAGCAGTGTATTCTCAATCTGCACAAAAACATAAAAATTATTGAAATCTTAGTAACCTTTGAGACATTGCATTGCGATTTTGCATATGTTTATTCATGAATGGTAGTCAACTTCACTTTAAAAAAAAGTGGTAGTTACAAGCTTACTGAAAGTATATCCTCTCCAGTCTGTGAATATCATTTTCATTTCATGAAATAATATTGTATTGTTTCATGCTGCAACAGGAACTATGAGAGCAGTGATATAGAAAGAAATGGAAACAATTCACTCAATTTGGAAATATAGGTATTCACTCCAGCACTCATCTATATTTTTTCTAAGTTTTGAAGGTTTTGGTTAAATGATGCAGTAAACATCTCTTTGAGATGTTTAATATATGTACTTTCATCTGTTGCAGCTGTTAAGATTTTTATTCCTTGTTTAGTGCAGACTCAGTAGTCTTGTAGAGATTCTGGCAATTGCTAGTGATGGTAAGAGAGGAAATAATTTTTCAATTATGTCCAGAGAGTCTGACAGCAATGACCTATACCCTGCAAACACATCAAAGGCTGAAGTCATATTTAGTGTTTATAGCTCTGTGTTCCAATCACAAAAAAAGTGAACTTCCATGTTGATTATCATCCCAGGGTAAGGGACTGTTTCCAATTCCAACTTTCAGTCTGTGGAACTGAAATGCAATAATGGGTAAACCCATGCTATGAACCTATAGGGAAGGAAGGAGTAGGAGAACCACTATAGCCATGTTCTCAGGATTTTAGAGATCCCAGCAATTCTACACAAGATAGATACAACAGAAAGTTGTCAAGAATTATATGTTGGGCTCTCAGAAAGTTTCTGGATGTGACTTCATGGAAATGATCACACATGAAAGCTTTTCTACATTTTGGCTTCACTTGATTTGAGTCTGTGCACACATTTTTCTTTCTACTTTCTGAGTGCCCTATGTATAAGAGTAGTCATCCACTTCAGGGAATAAATAAATGCATCAGTGGAACAGGCACTTCACCCTCATTTACACTGAAAGAACATTGAAATGCTGAATGTTCCTGAATGTTTCAAAAGCTCTTTCTCCCAGACTAGGAAGGAACCCTAAACCCAGAAACTCAATTCTGCTTCCTGTCTAATGATTGGGAGAGGAGGTGGATTTGGAAGAAGTTAAGAAATGCATCTTTTATCTTTCATGTCAGCATCAAAATCAGCAGGAAGTGCTAGTAATTTTGCCTGTACAAATCATGTTGATATCATTTCCTGTATAGTGGCTGAATACTTGTCCATTTATTCCTGTCCCACTGCATTACTTCACATGGCACATATTTCCAGGTGAAGTAAGCTTGTGTGCTACTGCAGAAGTCCCCTTTCATTACTATGCATAGAGCTGGGAGAATTGAAGACGAGAAAAATGTTGTTTCTGATTGGAATCCATCTTATCTAGTGTGATATATACTTACTGAATCATTCAGCTCAATCAGTTCAGTCTATTTTTCAACAAGTTACCCAATATCCATTTTCATTGTGAGGGGACAGTTGTGAGCATACATATTTGATGCAGGGATTCTTATTTGCCATGCAAATTATTGCAAAGGGATCCAGAATAGTCCTCACAAAATGGAAATGAAATACTCTTGGAGAAATCAACTCACAATTTTTAGGAAACCCCAATCTATATGATAGATGATTGACATCCCCAGGGCAGGGATTTCTAGCCTCTCTTCAGGCACCAACGTTTACTTCCTTTAGTTTGGTGCACTTTTGTGCTGTTGGCTTTTTACCTACACTATTCCTATCAGTGCTATGACTATTCTAACGATTCACAATGTTTCCCATTTCAGCCTCATGCGTCTTCACTGGTTCAACTTACTGTCAATCTTGTTGGCCCTTTGTAATTATGTGTTGGTGCCCTTATGTATTAACATTATTCAATATCATTAGTCTGTGTTGGCAATATTTGACAGTAGTTGGCACTCAATGTATTCTGAATTATTTTGACATTTTTTTGTATCAGTATATCCAATAAATGATTGGTTGCAAAATCTCTTTCCCATGGAACTGCATGTTGTACCAAGAACATCCTGCTTGTTATTATTGATAAAGAAGAATGAGATGCAGAAATTGAATATAACATTTCTTAATCTTCATTCCAGCTCCACCATCACCTCCTTCCAACCTCACAGTGGTTGATGTGACAAGTCGAAGTGTCACCTTGAACTGGAGCTCTCCAAGTAACATGGGAGGAGCTGAATTGACAGGTATACATTTTCATAAGGCTTTGTTCTGAAACAAAATTCTTCTGTATACTTGCTTTTTTCCCTGTTTGTCCCACCCTGCACCCCCTAGGTGTCATATTCCAATGTTCATGTTGCTGTATCATTGAAAGTGGATTTTCCCTCTTTTATTGAAAGGTTACATTGTGGAGAAGCGATTGACAACAAAGAAAAAGTGGGATAGAGTTGTAACCCTGGAACCATCAGTCACCCAGTTCACTGCAGAGAATCTCAAAGAGAAATCCATATATCAATTTCGTGTTTTTGCTGAGAATCCAATAGGACTTGGTGAGGCTGCTGAAACAGGAAATGTGGCACTCAAGGCAACAGCAAGTAAGTGCTTCCTTGGGCTCAAGATGACTGGAACACTGGAAACTGTATTTTAATCTATTCACCTCTTTTATGCTTTTTACCCCAGCTGTTGCATCACCACCTACGGGTCCATTAGAGGTCCAGCATGCTGGTGCTCATGCAATTATCTTAACCTGGGGACAGCCAGAATCAGATGGTGGTGCTCCTCTGGAAAGCTATTGTGTGGCACTCAGAGATACCCGACGGACAATGTGGATTGAAGTTGGTCATGTATCAGCAGAGAAGCAACGTCTTGTGGTCAAGGACCTCCAAGTATGCTCCTTTCTCATTTTTCCCTAGAAATTAACATGTGGTGGAAGTACAGTAGCCACCAAAGTCATCTTTATCTGTGTTCTCTTTGGTCAGGAGGGACGTTCCTATGTGATGAGAGTGTTTGCCAAGAATGAAATTGGAATGAGTGAGCCTCTGGAATCTGAGGAGCCCATCCAAATAGCAAGACCCTCTGGTGTGCTTGCTCACATTGTAGTGATTTCAACATTGTGCAGTAGTAGGCAGTCTGTAAACACCTATGTATGTTGCTTTTTTGCAGAGGGGCATGGAGAAGAAGAAGAAGGGCCTGATTATAAGGACACACCATCCTTAAGCTTCAGCACAGAGACACCATCATCTTGGCTGCGTGAAGCTGGCATGGATGCCGATATTCGTTCATATGCCCGAGCATCACTCCTCAGGAGAGATGAATACTTCTTCCGCATCTGGTACTACTCGAAGCAGTTGTTCAAGTGAATCAGTTCATTGTGATAGGCTGTTCCTACTATTGGATCTTTTGTAAGCTATTAATTCCCTTATTCCAAAGCAGATATGCATCATTTTTTCCTTCTGAGCAATATGCTCAAGAGGACCAAATGTTTTCCATGTATATAAAAGAATGTGATTTCTGCAGTAATTTATTTTCAGATGAAAAAAGGAGTTCATATAGGACAGGGACTATTTTTATAAATCAGGGGATGTTGACGTCAAGGAGCTTGACTCATCTCATGACTTTGATCCCGAGGGGATGGTTGACATCTCCTCTTCGATGTCTCATCTCAAAACTGAAACGATAAATCTCGACTGAAATTTACCTCGACAGTTATCCGAAATATGCCTATATGCTGAGCGATACGAATCGACTTTAGGCATCGAATCGATTCCCGACATTGTTACGCTTGGAAGGTCGTATGCTCGTTCTAATATTTTGCCATAAGTCTTGTTAGTCATGTGAAGTCTTGTCTCACCATTGTCATTGTGCAAAAATCTTTATCATATATCCTGTCATAGATTCTTAGTTCAATGTGTTTGGTTAAGTTTTTTCAACTTGAGGATTTGCCTATCTGGTAAAACAGTTCTTCTGTGATACCATTACCAGTTTTCATGTTCCTGTGGCTTTCCTGCTTGTTGCTGGATTGTTTTGCTTTCTCCAGTTCCTGTCTATATCAAAGAGCATTTGGTGAGCATGTTGAAGTTCGGTCTTGCCTCACCAGCTGTTCTTTGAATGCAGCTGCATCCCTTATGTCTTGATTCTATCAAAATGCAGTTCAGAATAAAGCTTTTGCAAAGAAGGTGCTTGAAATTCAGTCAATTTTCCTCTGCCTTAATTACAGTAATGTATAATAATCATGAAAAAGCATCCTATGTGCATTGGATGTGTGTGTGTGTGCATGTGTGCATGCATGCATACATATATGCACATGCACATCCACATACATGCATTTGTGTGAATGAAAACCCCTAGCATTAGATCCTCAACAATGACAAGAAAATATACGAGGTACTTGCATTGATCACACAGGCAGGATTCTTGGTTGATTGCAAAGTGATAAGACTGCAATAATCAAGCGCTGGTAAGATGGATAACACTGGAGTTTATAGGACACTGTAGAGTTTATAGGACACCACATGGAGCCAATGCTCTCTCGCTTTAATTAAAGAAGTTTTATTATTTTATTTGCCATTTTGATGAACTCACAAACATCATAGTTGTCAGTGATGATGAAACCCAAAAGCCATGCAAGCAGCAATCTAGTGCTTGTTGTTTCTGTGACATTGGTGGGAAGCAAATCAAGTATTTCTTGTTTTCTCTCACATAGCACAAGTACATTCCAAAGATATCCCAGAGACAACTACTAAGGACAACTCAGCGAAATCAAAATATCTGGGTGCCTTTCTTTCTGAAACGGACTCATTTCTTGCCATACAGGACAAGCCCTTATTTTCTAAATTGTCTCTACTTGATCTTCTAGGACTCCTCAGTCTTAATTTCTTTGACGTTAATAAAAGATCCTGACTGAAGGTTACAAAGATTACTAAAGATGTCAACGGACGTCTCTAAGATGTCTCGAAGACATTCCTTTCAAGATGTCAGAAACCGTCCGACTGAGGATGTCCCGTAAAGACCTTGGGACAAGTCGTCCAGTTGGGCACATCCCTGAGATGTCACCGTGCTGTGTGGGCTACTGACATTAAAAGTGACGTCTTGGCTTTTAACATCCTTGACCCTGGTGAGAATTTTTTAAAATGTACTTGGGGTGTTTGAAAAGTTTCCGGTTTTTTTTATTTATTAAAGAACTGCTGGGTAGAATAAAACGAAACTTACAGACAAAATAACGTACAGAAACCACCTTTATTTTTCAAAGTATTCCCAGTGGGCGTTGATGCATAGTTGTCATCTGATGGGCAGAGAATATATGCCCCGTCTGTAGAAGTCAGTCCTATGCAACCGAGGTCCATTTTCTGCTGCCTGCTTGAGATCTTCAGATGACTTGAAGTTTATTCCTCGAAGGCCTTTCTTCATTGGGCCGAAAATGTGGTAATCTGAGGGAACAAGGTCTGGACTATAGGGTGGATGGGCGACGAATGTCCACTGGAAGTTGATGAGGTGTGCTGTTTGGAAAGCTGCATGTGGCCGGGCGTTGTCGTGCAGGAGACAGACTTCTTGGCCCCTATGTTCGGGGCTCTTCCGCTTTATTGCAGTTCTCAGTTTTCGTAATGATTCGCAGTATTTGTCGGCATTGATGGTTCGGTTGTTGTCCAGAATATCGCCCAGCAATATTCCTTTGTGGTCCCAGAAGACTGTGACCATGAAGTGCACTTCTTCGGACAAGAGGAATGACGCCATTCCTTAGACTGTTCCTTGGTTTCCACAAGAAAATACGGTTGCTTAGTCTCGTCGTTAGTGACAATAGTGTTCAAGAATGCATCGCTATGCTCTGTGTGTTGCTGTAGCAAGTCCCTGCATGCTTCCACACGACACTGTTTCTGCTCTGGCGTTAGCGTTTTCGGAATCCACTTTGCAGTAACTTTGTGATAATCTAAGTCAGAAAGCAACCTCACAGCTGTGAGTACTCACACCAAGACATGAATGACAAATTTTCATTTTATGGTTATATTTTCGATGTGTATAAAGTAAATGTTCTTGGAACGAGAAGTAAATCGATTTTTCTTATATCTTCCTCGACCCTGAGCTCTAACTGAGCATGATTTTTTCAAAATGTCTTGTTGCTTTGAAATGACTTTATGACTGAAAAGTCACATATCAGTCATCATATGCGCTTCTTCAGGTCCTTAATCCATCCTTAACCCCCGCCGATACTCTTACACTTAGCCTATGTAGCCTATGCATTGTCCATTCCATGGGTAGGATTTACCTATCACGGTGGCAACAAATATTTAGCTGTGTTCAGTACTGGATAATGGTTGCAGCAGGTATGCTACTTGGCGCGAAATCGAGGGTTTACCTGGAAGCACATTTGTGCTAATAGTGGTGTTGGCGGATCGCGGCTTGCGAGGGTGGCGCTATAATGAAGAATCGCTAACTACAGTATATGTATATTGAGAAAATTTATTCTCAGGAAAAGAGTTGGCGATGAGCGAGGATGACGGTATACCGAGTGACGGTGTATCGAGGACTGATTATACAACGAACAAACCCAAAAGTATCATTCTACACAGTAAATAATGAGGGTGAGTGTAGGGTGTGCATGCATTTGGAGGTGCATTCTCACCTCTGCGCGTCTATTCCCTCCCTAGGAGGCTCGCATATCACTCTTAAGGGTGTGCAGGCTCTCCTCACTATCAGGTGGGTGCATGTGAGCACCTTCGGGGTATGCATTAGTTCTTTCAAATGAAAGTCTGTCTCGTTAGAAGTTTGACTCTTCTGGCCCAACAACATTTTTAAGGTCCGGGAATAAGCCCTGAGGGAGTGAAAGACCCTTTTAACACCCCGTATCAGTTTCTTAGGTCGGCTGTTTCACTGGATGTTTTTGTTCTTCAATTTTTACATATTGGTTCGATAGCATGCTATTTTCAAATAGTCCTAGGAGACCATGCTATTTCTATGACAGTATATGGAAGCACTGAATTCTCTTCTTCAGTATAATTTATAATTTCTATTATAATTTTTTTAAAGAAATGCATGTAAAAAAAAATAAGATACAGGTAAGTAATGACCTTTCAATTTTTTTTTAACGGGTATTATACGTTATGAAGCCGCAGAATACCTAGTTTGTTCAGTTCTGCTGATAGCAGGCAATAAGCCTTGTTGTTTCTCGCTGTCCCATCTAATATCGATTGAAAATTGAGCTCCTTGAATAGTTTCAATGAAGCTTCAATTTCATAGTCTTCCCAGCGAGTACACGAGGACATGACTCGCACATTCACACTCACAGGACTAGTTGGAGGGTAGAAGTTGGGTAGAGGAGACACGCTCTCTCGGGCCCGGGCCAAGTGTTACGACTAGGTCAAAGCCCGAGCCGGGCCCAGGAATTTCCCGGGCCTGGGCCAGCCTGGGCCGAAACGCCTGAAGGGAAAAAGAGGGGGGCCGAGTGTTTCGACTTGGCTCATCTTTTTATTTTCCCGGGAAATTCCCGAGAATCTCTTCAAGTCGAAACAAGGCTCTCCTCACCCCGCTTTGCTTACCCTGTCGGAGGGATGACCCCCTCGGGCTAATCAGCTCAACTACAAAACAGAATCGGGTTAAGGTTTCATAAGCCCCCAGGCATGACACACACACACAACCCTTGGCCCAATCTTGCGAAGGAGGGGAGTAACCAAAGATGAAATCTTGTCGTCTCCTTTTCTCGTCTTATATCATATCCAGAGGACTGGTTTAACCGAGGCCCATGCATTGTTCGCCTATTAAGTAATCTGATGAGGATGTTATCCTACTTTCCTTTCGCTTTCATTAGGCGAAGCAGCTGGATATTCATGCCTAGGTAAGGTTACCTTTACCGATGTAAGATAGCACCTCAGTCACCAACCCAGTGGGTCGCCTGTAAAGAAACTAAGCCACGCCTCTGGGACTTCTTACAATACTCGCACTTGCTTTTTTTCCTTCTTTCAGCAAAGCGTAAAACATTGGAATTTGCACGATATTATTATCTAAAGATGAAAGTCAGCCCTGGGAGACGTCTAGCAATATTGGCCCTAAGGAAGGAAGAAGAGGGATTCAGGCTTTAAGACAAACCACGGGTAAATGTAGCTCGTAAGCCTATTATTCTCCTAGTGTCTGTGTCACTTGTGAGGAAGCAAGACCACACAGGTAGGGGCGTCGCACTGGGTATACAGGGAAACACGAAAAGAGAAGGAATACACTGACTTAGGGTCCCTGCATGCAGATGTCGGTACACTCCAAAGTACATTAGGTATGCAAAGAGATCGTTATAGAGTTTTCATGCAGAACAATTCACAGTGATATATGGGACCTAAAAGCCTTACATCAATTGAATCTGATTGTCAATTAATAGGGAAGACCTAGTACTAAATGTGTACTCCATGGGGGAAAATTGCGTCACTCATGAAAGGCGAGAATGAATCTCCAAAGGGTGCGTATGGAAACCCAGGGGTGAGGATGTATGATCACACGACCGAGTAAACGTTGACCTTGAAAATGACCTTGTGGAACCGGAGACAGACTGATGCCAATTTTACAGTCAAAGCACATGTATTTTTGTAGTTAGAGTATGGAGAAATTTCATTCGAGCAATATTTCTCGTTATCGTCCAAAAAATTTTCAAGTTAGTCACGTTGTGTCGGTACGTTCCTGGAAACACTGAGCTTGGGGCAAAATGTTTGAAGTGTGCCTTTTTCTTGCTTGGATCGGTGTTATGATAAATTAGGATAACTTCACAAAAAGTGAACTCCATTGGATTCCTATGAAATTCATTTGGGAATCCAATGTAATTCTTATGGGAATATAGGAAGCCAGATAACTTCACGGTTCCTATGAGACTCGAGGAGTGTGGTTTTCATTTGCTTCCTGTTTAACTCTTCTGCATGAGAGTCACCAGGTTGTGTACACAAGGAAAAGAAGGTTGCACCAGCCCGTTACCAAACCCTAAAAAAATACTGAATTGGCTAAATTTTCTAACATTGGCTGATTTTTGCTTGGCTTTGAGGTAGGTTGGCATATTGTTTTATTCATATTGGTGGTTTTTTTTCTTTCAGTTTATTTGACGTCATGAAAAAGTGTAGTCTTTCAGCAAAGAGTCAGTGTTATCAGATGGTGCATACGAGGAGAAGAGGAATTAGAACTGTGACAGAGAAGGAGAAAAGACTCTTGTTTCTACTCTTCTTTCATGCAGAAGAGTAAAACAGGAAGCAAATGAAAACCACACTCCTTCACGAGTCTCTTAGGAACCGTGAAGAAATGTGGCTTTATTCCTATATTCCCATAATAATTGCATTGGATTCCCATGTGAATGCCATGGGAATCCAATGCAGTTCATTTTTTGATTATCCTAATTTATCATAACTTTAATCCAAGCAAGAAAAAAGCACGCTTCAAACATTTTGCCCGAAGTTCAGTGTTTCCAGGAACGTACCGACATAACGTGACTAACTTGAAAATTTTTTGGACGATAACGAGAAACATTGTTCGAATGAAATTTCTCCATACTCTAACTACAAAAATATATGTGCTTTGACTGTAAAAATGGCATCAGTCTGTCTCCGGTTCCACAAGGTCATTTTCAAGGTCAACGTTTACTCGGTCGTGTGATCATACTCCAATGTTTTATTTCTTCGTTCTGATTGCATATTTGGAATCTCAAAAGGATTTCCTTTAAAAAGACGCTGTTGATATCGGATCAGAACTTAACCTTTTATGCTCTTATTTCCAAAGGGTGGTCAAGCTCCCGTCCTTGAAATTTCGTATGTGCATAACTCAAGAACAAATGGCCAGAAAGTGGGAAATTTCTACTATTTTCTTTCACTAGCTAAAAGAACCCCACACACCAATTTCCATCAAATTCTGAGATGGTACCCCGTGAAAATCCATGTCCCATTGGGTGATTTGACATGGAATGATCCCATCAAGATCATGTACGATGGGTGACCAAATAGTTACGCAACTAAAAATCCTGAAGGCTTTGGAGTAGCATCTGATGCCTGGGCTGCACATTGGTTCTGGGAGCATTTTATCCTCCTACTCATGTTTGTATTACATCCACCTGAGCTTCTGCAGTGGAGTAGACTTATGCGATTATATATTTTCCAATGGTCAGTTTCTCAATAGATTTCATTAGGGAAGGATTTCACTTATATATATTTTCATTCGCTGTTTTCACTCACCTCGTCCTCCCCACCTCACCCTGCTGATTAAATTTCGCTTTACATTTAGCACTTAGAAGCCCAAGTCGGTATATATACATTAAAGCCGGCTTTTCTCATGTGCCCAGGTCAGTACATCTACGTCGCGCGCGTCAAATATTCGTATAAAATTGGGCGTCACTAAATATATGGCTTTGGATGCCGGACGCCGTCACTACGGGGCTGTGCATCACTCGGAGGCCACCAGATGGCCCGTGTGTCCATGTGGTTGCGAAGTTGATGGGAATTTCGAGTCGCTGGAATGGAGTAATGATTTTACCAATGTTCCCAAAATCACCGGGCGGATGGTATGGCTCGCTGGGCAAACCCTTGGGCTTTTAAGTGTTAATTTACGCGAGACCCTGCGCTGTGACGACACGGCCTGCAGCGTACCAAAAGCGCGACGCACAATTTCAGGGTATGAACGATGTAAACGCATGTTGAACAGTCATGCAAGCGAACACGAATATCGTGAAACGGACGCAAATCTTGAAAATAACGATTTCATTGATGCCACGTGCCGATGCTATTTCCCCAACTGCGTTTTTGGGGCCTCACGCAGCCTGCATCATTCATTCACAGTCAAGTTAGTCTTCAAATGATCGACTAAAAAGTGGTTTGAGAGTACATGCACTCAATATACGCCATACTTTATCCACCTTGATCGCAATCCATGAAATTGATTGTGTTGGGTCATTGAGGAATTCTTTTGCAATATCTTTTTTTTTTAGTTATGTTGTAGCGAACCCCAGGGGGTCACAAGATATGGGGCACGAATGCCTCGCTACATATGGGGATCAGACCCAATGTGGTCGGATGGTAATCCAGAAGGTTGCGTGTTCTTATAGATTGTAAATTAGCGAGGGAGAAGCGAAGTCTCAGATCTCTCTAGACTCCAAGAAGGAATCCGGGGTCGGACTGGCCCACTGGGATACCGGGAAATTTCCCGGGAGCCCCCCCAGACCTGATACAAATTATAAGTGGAGTTATAGTGAACATTGAACTAATGACCACATACTGATATTGATTCCATGAGCACTGCCAAATTGTATAAAGCTATACAANTCACGGTTGTAGCTGGGGCTCGCACGCACTTCGTCCTGATACGTGGACGATCGAATGTGTTGGTTCCTGGTCGCCGACCGTGGTCCAGGTCGTCGGTTCGTGATGAGTCCACAGCAGTTCGCTATACCGACCAGCACGCAGTTCGGGGCTCACACCGCAGTTCACTGAGTTGACCGGCTGTGAGGGTCAGGCTGCGTGACTCGACACGCCACGTGTTGTCCGGCCGAAGGGTCCTGGCGCACTCACGCGCCCACGTGTTGTCCGGCCGAGGGTTCGTGACGGACTCCCACGTGCTGTCCGGCCGGAGGTTCAAGACGGACTGCTGCGTAGGGCAGAGATGAGGGCGTGAAGGGGCGAGAGGAGGTCCGCTATGGGGACATGGCGTAGTGACTCGGGGACTCATCCCTTCTGCTGCTCATCCATGGGCACGAGGAGGACTCCACAGCTGACCGAATTCAGAAATGTTTTCAGGCTAAAAAGTTGACTTTCAATCAAGCTTTGATTCAACTGGGAACTTTGATAGACAAAATTGAAGTCTGGAAAAATTAGCTGTGTACTACAGTCATTTCTGAACCTGGAGATATGTGCAATGAATGGGGTTTTTCAGTGGACAGACGTAAAAAAAACGCTCCATACCTGGTGAAGGTACATCTGATGCTGGATTGAGCACTCAGGAAGAAATGTGCCATTGCCTTGGGGAAATTTTGGATTAAATTGGAGTTGAAATCTTAAATCGATTTTAATAGTTGCTAGAATTACAGAATCGGTTTGGTTTTCTCTGCTCAACTGAATCTTTTGTCAATCTATCGAACTGTGAAACTGATGAGCAGCTTACCGGCCTCAATAAGTGTGTTGATCTGGCGCTTCTTTATCCAAATGACTTCAACGGATCTGAACTGTATGAGGACTATAAAGATGTTGCTTCTCTCAAAGGAGCAAAAAAATCAGGAGAAGAACTGGACTACTCTCCACAGGGGCTGCTCATATCAATGGCATTGGAGGCCTATAAAACATTGGCCACAGCACTTAAAGTTCTGTTGACCTTGCCAGTTTCAGTTGCATCATGTGAACGCTCTTTCAGCAAAATGAAGCTGATTAAGTCGTACCTGCAATCTACATTGTCTCAAGAAAGACTTACAAATCTTGCTATCCTGTCAATCGAGCATCAAGTTGCCTCTTCCATTGATTTCAGCAATGTTATTAAAGATTTTGCAGCCAGTAAATCAAAAAGGGCTGAATTTTGATTGCAGTAGTTTGTAAGAATTGATTTTGATTACATTATTTGTGCTGAGAATCAGTCCTGAATAACAGAAATCTCATTCTCCAGTAAAACGTGTGTGCATGTGAAAATAAGAATTAGCAAGGGGGGAGGGGGACAGGAGTATTGGGGCGGCAGTAACAGTCACACGCCCCGGGCGGCAAATTACCTAGTTAAGCCACTGAGGATACACAACTTTGAAGTGAAAGGCATACCCATGACAACGGGAGAGGACATCACTGAAATAGTCAGGAAGCTTAGTGCTGTTGTAGGGGTACCTTTGAAGGAAGGTGATATAGAAGCTTGTCATCGCTTGCCTACTCAAGATGATGGTCTAAAAGGGCAACACAGGCCGAAATTGGTGATCCTACAACTGACAAGAAGAAGAGAGATAGCCTTCTGAGAGCAGCAAGGACCAGAAGGCCCAAGGTGAAAGACTTGAATATGACATGGAATCAAGGGGAAGACATCAATGCACCAATCTACATCAATGAAAATCTTATAAGAGAAGAAGATTCTGCTGTATGAAGCAGCCAGACGCCGCAGGGAGAACATCTGGCTGTACCTGTGGACCCAAGATGGAAAGATTTTTATGAGGAAGAAGGAAGGTGATAGAGTCAGGAGGATAGAATCAGAGGATGACCTAAAAAAAAAAACTCCTACCTTGAAATCAAATGACAAATTGATGGGCTCATGTTGAAAAATCGATTCAATTCTTTCTGATAGGATGGATTCAAATGGTTTTGATAGATCTTACTCCTTTTTGGAGTTTAACAATCATTGTGAAAGGACTCAAGGAATGCTGATTTTTCACTGGAACATTAGGAGCTTAAGAAAAAATTCAAATGAGGTGAATTTATACATTGGTTGGATGAAGAAAACTCCAGATATATTAATACTTTCAGAAACTTGGCCTATACCAAATGAGATAGAATATTATCATATGCCAGGATATGTGATTGAAGCTAAATGTCGAACAAAAAGGAAAGGTGGTGGGATTTTGACATATATAAAAGAAAGTCTCCAGTATGATGCTTGCAATATTAACATAATGAAAGCAGAAAGTCTTTGGAATGAGATTCAAATTTCAGCTAATAATGACGGCAGACTTTTGATTGGGCCCATCTATTGCCCACCCTCAGGAAATGCAAATATCTTTATGATAGTACGGGACAAATATTACATGAAGGATACCCGCATCAAGAGCAAAAGACAAACTTATTGAAGACTGGAATGTGGACTTTGGACAGGATGAGAGCCATGCTGTGGACTTCTTTCATGTCTTAAAATCATGTAATTTCTGTCAAATTATCACATTCATAACAAGAGAAAGTCGTACCATAGATCACATGTTTAGTAATATCCAAGATCAATACGCAAAAGGAAGGACAATTGAAATCAAAATGAGTGATCATTTTCCTATATTCTTGAATCTTAATATGTTGAAGAATGAATTCAAAGGTGAAACATGTCAGAGGCCAAATGAAACTGTCATAAATTGGAAAAAAATTGATCAAAAGGAATCACAAGAATTGTAATTATAAAAAAAAAAAACAGAACTGGAAGGAAATATTGGGAATGAAATATGTAGATGTTGCATATGAAAAATTCAAGGTGAAAGAAAGTGGAGAACACCTTTCAAAAAGCCTAAAGGAAAAGGTAAAAGTATAAAGAAACCT